TCTATTTTGACAAAATGTTTTTGTATTTTTAACTTTATAAAATTCTCCAAAAATTAGTTGGTTATAATTTTATGATAATAGATTTTATATCGCACTCTTTTTCTGAAAGCTTTTCTACTCCTATTCAAAGAAATCTATGAATTATTTTTTCTCAGCAAACCAACCAATCTCACATTTTTTTACAATCACTAACAGCAATGTTTGTCGACAAATTGTTACAATTGTTGCATTAATGCTAATTTTTTCTATTTCATTTTAACCTTTTATAACATATTTTAATTTTTAAAAAAAAGTTTTTTTTTTAAGAACCAACTATATATTAATATTTAGTTTTACTCTTTTGTTGGTCAATATATGATTTTTGATTCAAAATTTTGTACAAAAGCATTAAAAAATAAATAAAAAATCTTGCCAAATTGTTAAAAGAATAACATTTTGAATAAAATATTTTATAATATAAACACTTTTCTTGTACTCATCCTACACTTTATAAGAAAAAAGAATCAAAAACCTGGAAATTTTAAGATTTTTGTCTGGAAAACCTGGAAAAATCAGGGAAATTTGAAATCTGATTTGAGTGGCCACCCTGATCCCAAATCTCGGCCACATGAAAAAAGTTAAATATTAGTCTTTGTATATGTTAACATTTTCATCATCTGAATAATCATCTGCATCATTTTTACTTTCTTTTGCGAACGTTTTTTTTTTTAATTTTTTTTCCGATTCAAATTTAGTAACCATCGTATATTCAATTCCACAAAACACTACTGCAGTCCCACAAACAGCAAAACTCCCAAACAAAAATTGTCAAATTTCCAATCACAACAGATTATTATTATTATTTGTTTTGCTTTCTGCCGAATAAAAACGTGACAAAACAAACGAATTCTATGCCCGAATTTACTCGGGATAATAAATATTTGCAATATATATACATACCCGGGTTAACTCGGGATAATTAGGGGAGCGGTTCATACTTTATTTAGGTTTTATAAAAATTTTAACTTTTCTTCCACGCTTTATGATATTGGATATATATTTTTTTTTTCATTCATGAAGAACGACTAAAACTACCCTAAAAACGTGACTAAATTCGATTGGGATTGTTTAAAAATCATTAGAACAAAATAAGATTTGAAAGCTTGTCACGAAAACTTTTCTAAAGATGGACGGGGGAGGAAAATCAAGTCAACAAGTTTCACTTCATTGTTTAAATTTCATCCTAATTAATTGAATTTGACCTAATTAGGGGAAATTGTTCGAGGGGATCTATCGTTTACCTGGGATAGTCTGGTTGGTAGAAAGCTGGACTCAGGTTTGTGAGAACGGGAATTCGAATCCAGCCAGCCGAAATGTGTAGAAAATGGTGACTGGTGCACGTTAAATCTGTCGAATCACAAAGTCCTCCATGTTCCTATAACAAGCCGATACCTCTGGGGGTACTGAATTGAAGATGGATCGTTTTCTGGTGCAGGTCAAAATTACGATCTGTAGATGAATGACTGGATGTATGAATGAGTCCCCCCTATAAACGGGTGTGACGTATGGGTTTGGAAGCGGTCGACTTCTCAGCCATAGATGGCACCACTGGAAAACAAAAACAATCGCCCCCCCCCTCTGCCTTAATGGCCGACAACAACAACAAACTCTTAAATTACAAAAATGAATAATGAAAAAATTTCTATATCTACATCCTACTTGCCGTACAATAGTTCATTAATCAAGTAATATATGTAATTTCGGAAGGGGGTTTTGTCCCCCAAAACTACGCCACTGAAAATGGGTGGCTATTTTTTGAGCGTTTGGAACATGTCAACTGTTGTTTCCAATGTGTAAATTTTAAAATCAAGCAATGTCTTACCGCTTCAATTTCACTTATTTAATAGTGTTGGATTGTTGTTTATTTTCAGGTTCCGAGAATGTGTAGCTGGCTGCCCTGTTTACTTGCAGTTCTCGCTCTCTCGATGCCTTTCTCTTCAGTGGCCCAACAACCCGACGATATTCCAAGGTATTACCTCCATTCCAGAATCCCTTTTCACACAATTTTGAGTTATATTATGGAATTCATACGACACTTACACACAAAAGACGAAAATACACACACAAAAATTATAATAAATAAATAAACTAAGACAACACAAACTAATAAGTTCTTTAAATTATGTACTTTTCTTTGACATATTTAGGTGGGCAGTTTCATCTTAAGCCAAAAAAGAATGTAGCGCTTTATAATGTTTCTACCCCTTTATGTTTTTTTCTCCCAATGATCTCCAGAACTAATCGCTTCATCTAATCCGAAAAAGAATGTCATACTTGGTACATACATTGATAGATAGTACTCTATTTCTTACAAAGTTCTGTAAAGCAGTCATGGCCAGTCTAAAATCTTTTCAGGAGCTCTGCCATTTCCAAGAATCTTTTATGACCTCCCGGGATTTGATATTTATTGCTGTTATTTATTTCATTAAATTTATTAAAAACGTATCTGTTTAGAGTATCTGGTGTAAAGTTTTCTTCATGAATGTTTATTCCAGTTCGTTACCTTTGATGGCTTCCGCTGAAAAAATAATTGTTTTATGTATGTTATTGTTATAAGTTTCCGCTTAAATAATTTCGGAGTTAGATAATATACAAAACGAACGAACGGACGAAATATACAAAAAAAAAAACTAACATTCAAGTAACTGAATTTCCAACCACTTTCTTGACAAAGTAAACAAATGTTTTCCTATCTGAAGGATCAGAAGAAAAGATGCATCATCTGGAAAATAATCACAGTATTTTTAAAATTCAAATCAAAATGAGTAAGTTCTTCACTGCTCAAAAGTTATTTAGAATGAAACTTCGTAAAACATAAAAGTGTTATTCGCATTTTCTTATTTTATTCTCAAAAAAATATTTAGAATAATTCCGAATTGAATGTTAAATAAATAAAGAAAAAAGAAAATTCTTTCTTAGAAAAAAAAAGTTATCCTTCATTGTGAAAAGAAGAGTGTATTTCCATAAAATATTATATTTTCCATAGGTTTGAATCTGAAACCGATAAAGAAATATTGGATGCCATCTTAGATCGCAAACGATACGATTTCAGAATGAGACCTAACAGTAAGTCACCCTTTTCGAATTTTTTACTTCTTAATTCTCTTCAACGAAAATTTCATTCTTCTTCTTGAAAGATGTATCAAAATCGATGATGCATCATTCTTTTCTTGCATCGAATCTGTCTCCATTTAAATTTGCTTCGGTTTAAAACAGAAAGAAAGCATTGAATCAAAATATGCATGTTATTAAAAGGAAAAGACTGATAAAATTTCCTAATAATTTTCAAAATAATTTTTTAATTTAAAAAAAAAATCAACCAAAAAGTTGTGATTGCCTTATTACCCATAGGTCAAATGCTTTTTCTTTCTGGATTGACTCCGCTAAACGCCACAACATTTCAAATCATGGGTTGCAAAAACTGTCTCCATTGATGTTTGTCGTCTGATTGATTTTCATATCCGGCCTATGACGTCACAAAATACTTTTACTTCTTCAGCATTCATATTTGTATTGAAATCATCGTCAGTAATTATATGTTAATGTTAAAAAGAATATAAAAATATTTTAAATTATTATTATGTAAATACATTAAAAGTTCCTGCCAGTGAAAATAAAAAGAAAAACAGCAGCGGCCGCCCTAGCAACGCATGCGCACTGTTTACTTTTACTCTTGAACATAGTTGAAAAGTGTGTGGACGCCATCAATCCCAAACCAAGACTCGTTTTGCCAATGGGTAATAAAATTCTTTGTTATACTTGATTAAAAAGCATTGTCAAGCGCTCGAAAATAGGCACCCGTTGTCAATACCTGCCAGACGTTAATGAGGAAAGCAAAAATTATTTGAAAAATAAAACGTAAAGTTGCCAACAAAAAAATGGAAAATAAAAGGGAAAAAAATGGAATCCTCATTCATGTCTTAAGAACAAAGAATATAGAACGAATATGCATATTCAATGTTAAGAATGAACGCCACTTTTGAGCACTTGAAAACGTCGACTTTTTATTACCATCTCTATATATATTTTTTAAGCCAATGTAGTGTTTAATCAAGTATATTGTTTAGTTTTCTATGATTATTTATTTAAAATCATATGTTTTCTTATATATGAATAGGTACTTTATATTGCACATTTATATTTTCCATCAGAAATACATAAAAGCAAATGTCAAATTGGCACTGAGTAACTGGCGCCGAACTCAGAAAGTGTTTTGATTTTCATTATTTTATTCAAAAATAACTAGTGATCATCCCTCGAACACCAACTCCCGAAACTTTTGATTTCATGACGCTTCTTTTCTCCAAAGTCTTGTTTAATAACCGACTTTTTATACGACAATATATTTTAATGTTTAATTCTGATGTTAAAGACTATGCTCTTTGATCTTTAGCGCTTACCAATATTGCTTGCTCAATTCCTTCCATCCCTCTAACCCGCTGTGGAAGAAAAAGAAATAACCCATCGATTGACAAAAAAAATCAAATTATTGTAATGGATTGAGATTTATTAAGACAACGCCTCTTTACAATTTAATTACTTGAAGAATTCGAAACATAAACAAAATTAGACTAATGGACCATTAACAGATTTTGTAACTACAAAAGAAATTATAATTCCCCTGTTTCTAAACTAAATAAATCGGTGGAATTCAGAAAAAAGAAAAAAAAACTTTTATATAAAGTACAAAGAAAGTCGCATGTTCGCAATTCGATTTTTCGCTAAAACTTTGTATTTTGCCATTTAAAAAAATACGTACTTTAAAATCATGTAAAAAATTGTATACCTTACAATTCGAAAATTTTTTGGTCATTATTTAATGAAATAATAAAAATCAATAAATAATTACAATTTTTTGCATGGAATTATCTTTGAATAAACGACAAATATTTTTCAGATATAAATTTAATATATTCGACAAAGCAAATATTTTTAAATTCGCTTAAAAAGTTTTTGAGATATGGCGAAATACGCAGAAAAGAAATAAATAAATAAACATTAAGGGGTCCAAACTTTGGATCGCTCTCCTGACCAAACTTCGGCTACCCTATTTCCCAAATTGCGGCTACTCCTCATATTTAGGGAGTCAGAAATCCTAATCCGTTAAATGTTTATTCGAAGAAAGCACGTTTTTGTGTCTGATTAAATAAAACTTAAAATATCGTCTGCATTTATTAATTAGAATATTTGAGATCACAACCTCGAGCTAATAAGAGTCCTAGAAAGGAAAAATCCGATCACTAAATTGAAAGTTATTTAAAGTAATAATTTTTTTTTTGGCGCACTGCATCTTTTTAACCCTTCGGATCTACATAACGAAGTTATAATTTCCCAGATGAGAAATATTTCAAAAATCATACACCAATTTAGGCGATTTTTGTCTCCTTTTTTAAAATACCTATGTTAAAATTATAGTTCCTAATTATTGAGCATATTTGCTAATTATTTAGCATCCTTGAACTTCAAGATCCGATCAAAATTTACTCATATTTTAAATGACTCCAAATGACCAAAAACAATTTGCTTTTTGGCAAAAAATAATGCGAAAATTGCAGTTTTTTTTTCTCAAACTTTGACTCTTAAAAAAAATGAAGGCAATATAAAGATTGCCTTTTTTCGAAATGGTGCAGTTTTATTTTGTTTCCGTGTAAGTAAAAATTGTGTAAAAGGTGTGATTTTTCTTTTCCAGATAAGACTGAAGTGAATGTGACCGTCCTCATCTTATCACTCTCATCACCTGATGAATCCAGTCTTGTAAGTGAGTCTCCCTCCTTCGTCGATCGCAACATACTTCTCCCATTACATAAAAACGAGAATCAATTAGTACATCTAGAGGCAGAGGAATCAAATATACATCTTAATTTTTTGCACCACCTTGTCAACCACTAGCCGTAACGCATCGTAAGGGGTGGTTAAAACTGCTCCTAGACATTATCATCACGAAATAAATCAGGTGCGATAGATTTTGAAGAAAAAAAGGTGATGAATAAAAAGAATCGTCTTTTTAAAATAAAATTGAAATTTTTCAATCTTGATAATGTATAGAGAGACTACGATAAACTGAGCACAATAAGATGTGGGGCAATCTGTAGTGGGCACAATACATCGCAAGCACAATTTGTCCCAGTCTCAAATCGTCGTGTGTGCAATTCGTAGCAATCAATTCGTCGTTTGTGCAGCTCGTTACAAGCACAATCCATCGTGGGCAGAATTCGTCACAAGCACAATTTCTTGCAGGCTCAACTCGTCACGAGCCCAATCCGTCGCAAGCTCAATTCGCCGCGATCGCAACTCGCGGCAAGCAATTTGTCGCTTGTGCAACTTGTCACGAGCATAATTTATCGCAGGCAGAACGTGTCACAATGGCAATTCGTAGTGGGTACAATTCGACGCAAGCACAATTCGTCGAAGACACTACTCGTCGCAACGACAATTCGTCGCATGCACAACTCGTCATACCGGAAATTCTTTGTGAGCGCAATTTCCGGACAAAGTTAACCCCATAAGTATTTTTTTCTCTAGAAAGCTTTGCTATACCATAAAATGATACCTGAAACTCCCCTGCTGTATTCTGTAAACTTCTCTCTTTTTCGAAGGAAAAATGCGAGGATTTGAGGTAGAGGAAGGAATTTCTTCCAAACAAGCAAATGAGACACGGTTTCCGGCCCATTTGTTTGCGCTGAATAGAATGAAACCAATTACGAGATGAATGGACCAATAGTTTAGAAGCTATATGGGTTTTGTGTACAAACATTACACATTTGTATTTTTACCTATTTACGTATCTGACATTGGTATCTAAGCTAGCGAGGCAATATTTCCTACGTAATTTCTGACGTTGTATCGAATGAGGCTATACAAGAGACTTTATGTATAAAAAATACTTTTATTGACGAGAACGTATGGGCACTTTTTGCATCACTATCTAGAGGCTATCTGAACATTTAAGGTACATACTTTTGATGTCATTTTTCATGCTGAATTGATTCCGGGCTAAAGAGAAAATATAGAAGGGCTGGTTCATATTTTCTACCCCTCATGATGTCACGCCGCACAAAGATTTCAAAAATCAGAACTAGAGGTTATGAAAACTTTGCTGTTTATACTTTCTGTAAGAAATGAGTTGAATGTTTGACACTTTTCTGACAATAGCTGTCAAACTTTACACTGCTTATAAATTATTTATGTTCAAAAATATAGTATTCATACATTTTCTTACGGTATTAAAAAATAACATTTTCAAATTAGAAAACTATCTCTATACTTGTCATCATCGTTCCATTATCATTTTCTAATTATTTTAGTTTTTATCTCTTACTGTTAAATAAAGGGAAGCATAATAATTTTCTTCTTCTCTTTTTTCATTGTACTGTAATTTTTTTCATGTTTTCTCTACATTTTGAACATTTAATATATATATTATTGTTGTTGTTTTCAGAAATACGAAGTGGAGTTCCTCCTCCACCAGAGCTGGGATGACCCCCGGCTAAAATACGAGGACAGCGGGAAGTACAGATACCTGAATGCCATATCACATTATCAAGTGCTGTGGACGCCTGACATCTATTTCATCAAACATGGAGAATTTAAAGCTCCTCTCGCACAAGTGCACATGGCTTTAAAGATCTTCAACAACGGCTCCGTCCGATACATTACTAGGTAGGTACCCAAAACACATTACTCAAAGAACTGAATCAAATACTTTATGAACAAAATGCTTTATTTTTTAACAAAATAGAGCTACGATACATTAATAAAATCAGTTCTTTCTCGTGAATGAGTTTTTCTCTCTCATCAACTATTTTTCTCCCCAATTTTGAAACATTAAAAAAAAGGAAATCTAAAAATTTTAATTTTTGAAAAATAGAATTAATAAAGAAAATATTTCTTTTCTTTCTTTTTTTTTAATGTAATTTACCGGTAAGACGAAGCTTGTTTTTTCAATTGGACTTCTTATCCGAGCATAAGTGTTTTTAAATAGATTTATTTTAAAAACCAATTTATTTTGATGATGACTAAAAAGGTACTTTTTGATAGGGTACTTTATTTACGTCGCACTAGAGCTGCACAATAGGCAATTGCCGATGGTCTGGAAAACGTACCTGAGGATGATCCGAAGACATGCCATCGCAATTTTGATCCTCTGCAGAGGGGATAGATCCCCTGCTTTGGTAGTCCGACGACCTGCTTGCAAAATCGAGAGCTTAACGGTAGAACAGTTTAAGGAGGACCCATACCGGGCATCCTCGGTCCCTATGCAGACTGTTCAAAGTGGTCACCCACCCGCTTAGTAACCGTAGCCAGTGAAGCTTTTGTTCCACTGGGAACTTTGTCTTTGCTATCAATCCACTGCGGGATAGGAAGGAGAAGTGGTATTGAAAGGGATTTGATTGATTAGCATTGATTAATTGATTGATTTGATTTTCATTTTATAATTTTTGTCATTGTCAAAAATATAAAACAACTTACGGCATTTCAAGGTTGAATTGCATTTTTAAGAAAATCTACTTTTTTAAATAAGCTTATTTATTTACTTCAAAAAAAAAATTTAAAAATTCCAAATATGTTTTGAAAATTATTGGAGCGTTTTATAATTATTATTTTAATTTCTGAATACTTTTTTTATAAACAAACAAAAGCGCGAGTTGTTAAAAGAGAAATAATTGATTCTCCATTTTTGATCAGAATTGCCTTAGTTATGAACTAAACTTAAAAAATATTTAAAGTTATATTATTCTATAATTAATAAGATATTGATAATTATCATTATATAAATTCAATTTTATTAATTCTGTAATTTATAGGAATGTTACTTTATAATGTATATTTCACTATAATTTTTTCCTTGGCTATGATAAAAAATTATATAACTTCCTTCTCTTTTCAAGGCGCAGTATGATTTTAAATTGTCAAGGAAATTTGCAAATATTTCCTTTTGACAACCCCAAGTGTCCTTTTGCTATTGAGAGTGGTAAGCTATATTTATATATTTGCTTATTCAGTTTTTGGATTTGGTAACAATGGAAAAAAATAGGTAAACATTGCATACAATGAATGAGGTCCGGGATAGCCTGGTTGGTTGGGCACTGCGTCCATGTCCAAGAAGTCGTGGGTTCGATCCTCGCCTTCCGAAGACTCCCTGTGTAGTAAATGGTGACTGATGCATGTTAAATCTGTCGAGTTCCCATAACAAATTCCTTCATATTCCCATAGCAAATTCCTTCATATTCCCATAACAAATCATACCACTAGGTTTACTGATCTAGGAGTTCCCTTGTCTTCTGGAATGGGTTCAAAATGACAAGGCTACGAAGCTAAAAATTAGTAGTCGTAAACTCAAAATTGGGTCGGATGTTCAACGACGGTTATAAAATAAAATGAAATAAAAATACAATGAATGAAGCCTATTCCGAACTGGAGCAGCAGTCCCCAATTTTTTTGGCTATGAAACCCAAAATGATTGAGTTTCTTTTGACAAAACCCCTTCTTTATAGTAGCTACTTTAATTAGCAGCTGTGAATATATTTACCAAAAAGTATTAAAAATTAACTTTGAATATATTTTATCGTAAAGAGTCAATTTTTTTATAGTTTTATGAAAACAATACAGGTCTGGAGCGACATGTAGTACTGAATTTGTTTTTGACGTATGCTTAGGTTTAATAAAACAATCTGAATTATGATTTCCAAAAAAAGAACTGTTATAAAATCTGAGAACGGGTATAAGAAAAACATAAACATAGAAACATAATTCTCTAATCTTGAATTTAGTTATTTTACATTGCAAAGTTTTAAGAGAAATACTTATGCATATCATTTTCGTAATTTATATCATATATTGTTTTTGCAAGATATTTTTATACTGTCGCTTCTTTGATAAATAATTTCATTAAATAAATTTTATGATTGCTTGTTTACAGCTTTTAAAAATCATTACTGTTTTGTGCGCACCTCATTTATGTGTACCAAATAAGAAATTAAGTTCCGGACGGGCTTTCGAATTAAGATGTTCCTTACTTCATTCTATGCAGCGAATATGATTAACCGTCGGATGTGACTGAATGTCGGAAATGTTTAGAAAGAGTAAATGAATACAAAACTCTGACATGATAATCGTCTATCATTATTCATTTATATTTAAATCCAGCTATTCTATTCCCTTACCATCATTCAAAATTAAAAAGTAAAATCCCTCCTTTTTTTAAAAAACAATCTTTCAGCTGTTAAGTAAATCCTCACTAAAATTACTTTTTTACTACGTTTTTATAAACTGTGGTAAATTTTGAAAGTGTTTTACACAGTTTAGCGGCATTAAACAATTTGAATTAATCTTATTTCTTTCTGCAGCTTTTGAAAATGGTGTGGTTTTTTTTTTCGATTTTAACATTCTCCAGTATCTTGTATATTGTTTAAAACTTTTTTTAATAATAATGTCAAAGGTACCATACATATTCGATGGTACCATATTTACGTAAATTAAAAGGCGTCGCAGCTATTTCTAAAAATTGTTGACTTTCTGATTGCAAATCGAAGGCATTGGAATGTCAGAGATATTAAAAACTACTTTTAAAAAAAATCGATTTCCAAACGATAATTTTACACCATTCATGTAAAATAACAAAATTATTCAGAACATATTTCACCTGATTTTGCGCAACCATGTGCTAGTTCCTTCAAACCATGAGTGATGTATTCTGTAGTCATTTCCTCTTATTGGAACGTTTGACAATTAAAATGACAGTAAATAATTATATAAAAAAAAACATTTGCCGCGGTGGAAGCCCTGCGAAAAATTCCTGTCACGTTACGTATGTGTTCCATTTCCAACCATTAATTTACCACATTGCCTTTTTATATAGTTTTCTTTTTGCGTTAATTTTAAAAAAAATAGTACATGAATTCGCGATCGCAACTCTCGAATTCGCCATCTGGGGAGAACACCGGTTCCGTGTCTTGGCCCTTCCCCCTTTCCACGACGCTTTCTTTTTGAACTATGTTCAATATAGTTTTCAGTTCCAAATACTTTATTTACGTCACACTAGAACTGCACAGAGGGCTATTGGCAACAGTCTGGGAAACATCCCTGAGGATGATCCGAAGACATGTCATCGCAATTTTGATCCTCTGCAGAGGGGGTATCTCCCCTGCTTTGGAAACCCGACGACCTGCGCGAAGTCGAGCACTTTACGGTAGAACAGTTTAACGAGGACCGATACCATGCACCCTTGATCCCTACGTAGGCTGATCAAAGTGGCCACCCACCCACTTTCTGACTGCAGCCAGTGATGCTTGACTTCGGTATTCTCCTAGGAACCATGATGCATCTTCTAAGTGATATGCTACACTCGACCAAATCCTGGACTACCTTGGTCTTTCTAGAGGAGATATCTCTGTGCTTCATATGCTCAGAGTTACAAGTGTCAAGGACTTCATTTAGCTTTGCTAACAGTTGTGGGCTAGCAACAGCAACAACATAAAATAACACTTTTGTTAAAAAATTTCTATCATTACTTCCAGGTAGATATGCGTGTTTTCGGAGAGTTTTATCCCTATATTTTAAAATAAAACCAATTTTAAGTGAATCACGTGGTGCAAAAAATTCAAAATAATTCCTCATATGTCCATCCTCATATTAGAATTTCATTTACGCTAGATGTTGCATGTTTTGGAATAAAATAACATTTTTGTTAAAACTTTCTGTCACTACCTCCAAGTAGATGTGGATATTTTCCGAGAACTTGACGCCTGCATTTTAAAAGAAAAAAAAGTTTTTTAAGTGAATCACGTGATCTTAAAAAGAAATTATTGACGGCCTTCATTATGTTAACAAAAATGATTTTCTAGCTTTTATCACCGTGTAAATTTAAAATTGACTGGTTATCTGGAAATAGTGAGGCAACTCTACACATAGATTTTCTTCTTTTTTTCTCACGTGTTTTAAAAGATATTTTTCTTTTCTTTTCTTTTCAGTGTCCCATGAGATATCAGAATTGGAACTCCGATGGGAGAAACAACCTGGGGGTGTAAGTGGGGCCACCTCCCTCAGATACCACAACGCCTATCTTGTCAAGAATGAGACCGGAATATGCGATAGCCATGACACCTGGAGAGGTAAATATTATTATTATTTACTTTTACCCCCAACCTGTTGAAGTGAAAATTGTGTTTTCCATCTAGGTAACTCTTTTTTTATTCCTTGGGCATGGTATCTTATAATTAACCTATTGACTTATTTCAAGAAAACTGAATGATGTCAATGATCCAGTTTAAATTAGAATCCCAATTACCATACTACTATGCAATTGAAAAACGAAAAACAACGTAAGTGCGAACGCTGTTTCGTATGGCGTGCCGTGCAATCAAATGTTTCTCAGTAGCACGGCCATTATAAGAAACGGTATTTTTCCTGAAAAACATATCTCAAAATAGGATGCTCTCCCAATACTTCATCCAGGAATCTCCTTGTCTTCTGGATAGGGTTCAAAATGACAAGGCTACGGAGGTGAACAGAAGTAGTTAAACCCAAAATTGGGTCGGCTGTTTAACGATCAGGGGTCTGTCCAGACATTTTGTGAAAGGTCCGTTTTTCGTGAAATTGTGAAAAAATTACTCACATTCTTTCAACCAGGGTCCGCTTTCATGAATTTGTGCAAATAAGGTCCGTTATTGCAGAAAAAAACTTTTTCAAGGAGTTTTTAAATTGTAAAGACATACAAGATTATGCTCAACACTGCAAAATTATAATTAAAAAAATTAAATTTTAAAAAATAAACAATTGCTGCTTTTAAACTAGAGATGCAACACACAAATATTTGGTATTTAACCTATACTGCTGAACGCAGAATATTCATTTCGGACGAATAATGGAAGAATCGTCTGCCGAAGACAAAACTTAATTCGTTTACATCCATCTTTCTTGTTTTCTGCCCTGGTAAGGGTTTATTCGATTAATAAAATAATAATGAAGATAAACAAATTTGTGAAGGGTCCGATTAAAAGAAAAATCATTTTGTAAAGGGTCCGTTTTTAAGTTAAAATATTTTGTGAAGGGTCCGTTTTAATGAAAAGATATTTTGTGAAGGGTCCGTTAACGGACCCAAATTTCTTCTAAACAGACTCCTGACGATGGTTATAAAATCTAAATAAAAACCAGAGTCGGAACACATTTAAGAATCTGTTGATACTCAGAAAGTATAGCAGATAATGAGTTAGAGATAAGTATAAATTTTCTCCCCAAGTCGAGCCGAGAAAAGACCTCGCGAAAAGTCTGGTAGGTTTATCATCTTCAATATAATTTTAGGTTAGGTGCTAATTTATAAAGTATGTTCCAGATAAACACTTTATAAATAAATCCCTTTAAAATATTACTCCAATCGAATCGATTTTATTCTCATTTACTTCAAAATGAAAAAAAAATGTATCGGAAGCAATACCTCTATACGTATTCTCTCCTGTAAAAACCATTTATTAAGAAGAGGATACTTAACAGTTTACCTCTGCTTAGAGCTATCAAGTTTTGCGTACTTATGCAACTGATTTTCATGCTATTTTTCATTCATTAAAATACGCAGAAACCAAATGTGAGATCCGTCCAAGTGATTCTCTAGCACATCCCCGTGTCAAAATGAACTCTTCTGGTAGACTGACAATATTTATCACTGTATATTGTGTTCTGTATTCTAACGGTTTTAAAGTCACTTTCATTTCAATTTAATTATTCATTTGAGTCACTTTAAAAAGCATTATTTCAGATTATAAAAGATATAATCATTCCAAGCATTTTTTCATTTTTTGTTTGAGTGAGTTTATCAGAATCTAATTGTGAAGCTCATATGAGTAAAAAATCATACCAAAGAGAACATTCTCATTTTGTGATAACCAGCAGACAAAAATACTTTAAATATATTTTTAAGTCAGGCACTTCGCTAACCTTTTCATGAAAATTCTTCAATCTAGTAGCATTACGTTGGCAATCTAGTATTCTACAATACGTTTCTATTGGAATGGGCAATAAGAATTGTCCAATAGGCATAATGCAATGGTTAACTTTCACAAACCACAAGAATACGGCATTTATTCCATTCAAGTGATGTAGTTCATACCTCTAGTTGGACATGTCTCTATCAAAAGCCCCTAGCAACAATTTTACCTTGACCCCAGTTGGGGTCCAAATTGGCTCAATTTGGGCCCTATAAGAACATGGACTCAGGGACCCACATTGGGATGTCAAGATTTTTTAATATTAGTCCTAGAATGGCTTATAAAGGACCTACATTGGCCAATATAGAATCTATATTGGCTAAATAATGGATATAAAATATTGGGTAAATCTGACAATTCCATATTGGATGTAAATTATTGGGTGAATCGGACAAATACTACATAGGGCCAATATCGGAAAAATAACGGCCCTATGAACCCTTATTGAGCCAAGATTCATGAATATTGGCCCAAGTTATTTTGCTGATTGGAAATTATCAAACATTGAAGGGAATTAAACACCTCTGCCACAGAAACTATCGTCAAGAATTTAAAAAAAATTTGTCGAAAATTAAAACTAACGTTAAACTATTAAACCTTAACCTTTTGCTTACGGTGTACCAGTTATATCATTACATGTGGTATACATGCTGTACCAGCCGTAAACAAAAGGCTTGAATCTTAATTTATTTAACATTTATTTATTTATTTCAGGGGAGTACAGTTGCCTCCGAGTCCTCCTGGTCTTCACGCGAGACAAAATCTTTTACTTCAGCACAGTTTTTGCACCAGGTGTGGTCCTGGTGACCAGTTCCTTCATCAGCTTCTGGCTGGACATCAACGCCGTTCCTGCTCGCGTCATGATCGGCGTGACCACCATGCTGAACTTCTGTACGACCACCAACAGCTTCCGTTCTACTTTGCCCGTCGTGTCTAACCTGACGGCGATGAACTTGTGGGACGGTGTGTGCATGTTCTTCATCTATGCATCCATGCTAGAGTTCATTATTGTCAACTATCTGTACAGAAAATATCCGAAAAGACCATCCATCGGTGCCAGTGGAGCCTCTTCCAGTTTGGGTAGATGGTGCGGAACATTTGAGGTGAGTCAGTTTTCGTACGCATTATATGAGACCTGCCTTTGCAAATTACATAAACGTGATTTAAATTCGGTACGCTTTATTTTGATGTTTAAACTACATTAGAGGACGGCTCAAATCCGTTATAGTTTCGAATAATATTGGACACCCCCTCAAGCGAATTCGAATGATATATGATGTTTGCATTTATGATGTTTGCATTTATTATGTTTATGATGATATTATTATGTTATGATGTTATCATAATGAATGATGTTTTCATTTATTAATTAGCATATTTGATATCATCCCCTCAAACCAATAAGAGAACATGAAAATCCGATCTTTCAATCAAAAGTTATTCAGAGCAATCCAGTTTTTTGTTGTTGTTTTTTTCGCACTAAATCTTCTACGAATCTTCACTATACGAAGTTATAACTTCCCTTATGAGAAATGCAGTCAAACCCCGTTATAGAGAACATTCAATGGATCGAAATTTTGGTTCACTATAAACGGGAGTTCACTATATCCGTTCTGCAAACAATTTTAATTTATTTTTCCGAACTGCTCCCTTTTATTGAACATTATTTAAATAAATGATCCATAAAAAGAATTACAAAAATGATTAAAAAACGACATGTAGTAACAAACAATGCGTTAACTTTTATTTTTTTAACTCCTCGTCTTGAGTATAAAAAATTTAGGAAAGGCCAGGATGGGGAACTGAGATAGAAGAAGCAACCAAAAAAAATGCTTATGACTATATTCCACTCAATAGATGGTTTTAAAAATCGGTATCTGTATTTTGTGTAAAAATTTCAAAATTACCAAAAAATTAAGAAAAAAATGAGTCGAAGGCAGAAAAAAGTTCATACTATCCTCTCCTCTTTTGGTTCACTATGTCCACAAAAAATAATATTACATGTGTATAGCAAGGCAGCGAACATTTCGTTCGCTATATCCGGGAGTTCACTATAAACCATGTTCACTATAGCGGGTGTTGACTGTATTTCATCAATTATACATCAACTTAAGCGTTTATTGTTCTCCTTTTGTAAAATACTTATACTAAAATTAAATTATAGTTACTACTCTATTTGTGAGATACAATACCACGTGCGCTATTTCCGAGCATGCGCAGTATCGATAAGGTGCGGAAAATGAGGTTAGCGTAAGTGTAACGCAAAAGCTCTCTAATAAATCATTCAAAAGTGAAACTTTCAAAATAAATCCTGGAGTGCTCTTATAAATCGTTTATAAGAGCACTCCAGGTAAATTATAATCTTTTTACATGTTTGATTGCAAGTCTACAACTAACACTGTTTTATTATGAAGACCCAATATGTTTCACTTATAATCCCATGAAAACTTTTAATCTCGCTTTCATAAAAAACAACGTTTGAAATCACCTATACGCGTTTCACAACCTACATCGGTAGGCTGGATATAATTCGATTAAAGTTAAGCCATACTAAAAGCATCATTATACAGTTTAAAAAATGAAATAACAGGAGTAATGCTTTCCATATATGGTATAGCAGTAACCTCTTATGTTTGAAAAAGCTTATTGTGTCATTTATTAATATATTTCGAGTCTGTATAATATCTATAATATAATATAACATACATTATAAAATATATTTAATATAATAGTGTATATAATATATATTTCATGTCAATGTTAGGTGTCAATGAAACACTATAAGACTTTTCTGAAATACTAAATTTAGACAAAGCATATAAACCGTAGTTAAACAGCCGACCCAATTTAGGGTTTACGACTAGTAATCTTCAACTCCGTAGCCTTGTCATTTTGAACCGAATCCAGAAGACAAGGGAACTTATGGATCAAGTATTGAAAGAAATTTGCTTTCGCGGAGGACTTTTGATGGAACTATCCCACGTTTGCGTTACATGGGGAGGAAAACCACGAAAACCTTCCAATGTTAGCCTAATGGCAAGGGGGCTTTAACCCATGATCCGTCTACGACTGAGGATATTTTACGTCAGCACTGTGGTTGGTGCGAGCCGGGTGCGGAATTCATATCGACCAGTCGTTGCTGGGATTCGAGCCCGGATAACCTCATTGGGAGGCAAGTACTCTATCCTCTTAGCCAGAACACCTGATACTATACACATTACATGCAACCACCATACCCAACGATTTGTTGCTAGAATGCATCCCGAATGAACTGTTAGATGTTTTGTGCTGTTGTCTGTTCGAAATCGGTATCGACCAGCCATCGCTGGAATTCGAACCATGTTCACCTTATTGGAAGACGAACGCTTTGTCCCCTGAGCCACCATGACTTTCATTTACCATTCTAAGAAAAGTATTGGTAGAAGTTTTTATCACTATAGTGAGCAGTTTCGCTCTTATTTAAGTTATGTAATTGTTACTTTTCGCCACTGTTAAAAGACGCAAATATTTATTCATATGAATAGTTTTTCTTCTGGTGTTCTTATTTAAGCGTCATGCATGCATTGTTCCTTAAATTGGATAGGTTTGTAGAAAATACGAAATGCTAAAATATTGTAACATTTATTCTGATCATTTATATTCTTCATTTATAAAGTGTCTATAAGAATTGTCATTGTCATAGAAAATTTCACCAATTTTTTAGGTAGATTTTTTTTAAAGTTACATTTTAGATTTATTCTATTTTAAAGTTCCTATTATGCTCATTTTAAAAGCATGCGTATTATTATATGAATTGGAAAAATATTGGATATAAGAAAACTAAATAGAATACGGGATAACTAACAAGATAATAGGGAGAGAAAAAAAAATTTCAATTTCTTATTTTATATTCTTCAATTATGTTGTGCTTATAAAATAAATATGGGATAGATGGCCGTAGTTTTTTCACCTAAGGTTGATGGTGAGATCAGTAGCGTAGTTTTAATGTATGTTCGATGGGGGATATCGGTTATCTCCTTCTGTTGTTGTTGCTGTCGTCGGCCATTGAGACAGATGGGGTACGATTCCTCTCGTTTTCATGTGGCGCCATCTATGGGCAAGAATTTGACTTCTGTTACACCCGTTTATAGGTCATTCATCCACGGATCGTAATTTTGACCTAAAACAGAGAATCAATCTCCAATGTAGTGCCCCCAGAAGTATAATTTGTTATGGGAACATGGAGGACTTTGTGACTCGCCAGATTTAACGTGAGTCAGTCACCATTTACTACACGGGGAGTTCTTGCCCAACTCTATTCGGACACCCGTTCTTACGAACGTGAGTCCAGAGTCCTATATATATACCAAAATGAAGATAAAACAAAGGAAGATTATAGACATATGAAAAAGGGAGGGGGAAATAATAATGAAAAAATATAACAAACAACTGATTTAAAAAGAAAAAAAAGGATGAAATTTTTCTTAAAAAAACCGGAAAATAAAAGATATAATCTTTTCATCAGCCCACACGATTATATCCGCAAAAAAGAGTGCTTTCTGATATTGTATCAATATAGCCAAAGCAAAATAACTTTCTTCGTGTTTTCTTGTATTTATTTATTTTGTTGTATATATATATATATATATATTCTAAACGTTTAAATTACAAAAAATAAATAATGGAAACTTTCTTATGTCTATATCCTACTTACAGGACAATAGTTCATTAATCGAGCAATATATTGTAAATATATAATTTCGTAGAGGGTTTTGTCCCCCAAAACTACAACACTGGGTGAGATGGCCAACGAAGTTATAGCGACCATTCCTCTGTAAAACACCCCTTCTTGTTAAACGGGTGCAAAAATACACTATACTAGGAGGCTTCGCCCCCTGCTCGCTTGCGCTCGCCAACCCCCGGAACTGCTTTCGCAGTTCATTTCGGATAGCTTCGCAATCCAATGCTCGCTCATTGGATACGTTCTTAACGTCTAGCTTTTGTATACTTTTTTGAACACAATTCCGAAAACTTTTCATTGTAGAAAATTCTAAACCTGTGCATTTCAATATTAATTTGAAATTGCAAACAGTTCATATTTTTCTTAATCACGCTATTCTAAATTTCAGTTGTTAAGAAAAGTAACTGTTGTAAGTTTTGTTTTAAAGTATTTCCCTTTCAGACCCTTTCAGAGGGCTAAAACCATGTGCTGTAAAACAATATGAAATAGTACTGAACGCCGGATGCGAAGCATCTGCTTCGATGAAGATAATTTTGTGAGAATTTTTTTGATAATTCGAAGAGAATTCACCCGATTAGACATATGATGCTCACTACGTGCTCTTGCGCGCCGAAGCCTATCAATTAAAAATGAAAACTGTTGCCAACGCGAGAAAAAAAATATCATCGGTTTTATTGATACATACGTATTAGCGTTTTATATAATATAGATATGTGCTTTAAAGGTCCAGCTAATTATTAAATAAAAAATTTAACCTTCGCATTGAAAAACAACCGAATATTTAATTTACGAAAAATATTTGACCTCTAAATAAAATAAACATTACAATTTCATATTTGTTGTCGCGACAATTCTTCGTTCAAAATGATAAACCAGTTAAACTGCTCCCTACAAAACTGCACCTTTTGTAATACAGACAAATCATTAGACCCGCTAAAAGATTCTGTGTAAAATTATAATTATCAAGTGAAACTATACAGCTGTATTGTTTTTACTAGGATGAAACCGGTTTGCATTTGTTTACGTTCCCCTGTATCAATGGGTTAACATTGTAATGCAATACGTTAAAAATAAATACAAATAGGAAGTATATAAAAAATACTCTGAATAAAAACTCACTACATGTATGTTAAAATATAAAAATATTGCATATAAACTCGTGCAAATCATGTCATTAATTATAAAACTACAGTGCAACTAATAATTTGTTCTAATTATTATAATATACTAATAAGGTATCTCATAAAATAAATATTCTATATTTATATAATAAAAACATAACATACAAAACAAATATATAATAAAAACTGTACATAAAAAAAATATCAAAGGTATTTAAACTAGCCATCTCTCTTCGATTGTCATCTAACCTAAACTTAACTT